CTTCTTCTCTACTACCACACACACACACACACACACACACACACACACACACACACACACACACACACACACACACACACACACCCTTGCCGGTGCTGTGTTGTGTTTCAGGTTGTGCTGCTGCTCCCGATCGGGTATCCAAGCGAGGAGTGCCACGTGCCGAATCTTCATCGAAAGGCGCTCAAGGACATCATGACCGTGTTCTGATGTGGCGGCAGTGGCGCTGACGTGCATACACACGCACACGCACACACACATGGAGAGAGATGAAGAGTGAGAAGTCGCCCCGGAGTCATTTCCATTCACACACACACACACATACACGCATACACACGCACACACACACACACACATACACACACACGCACGCGCGCGCACACACACACACTGCCGCAGTTGTTACCAGCGCACTTGTTCGTTACAGTTTGTCTGGTGCCTTGTTTCACTCCAGCAAGTTTGATGTTCATCATGCTACATCTGCCACGCCACACGGCGCTTCAAAGCTTCAAAGCCGCTTGCTTTGTCTCTCCTTCCAACCCGATCCCACCCCCCCCCCCTCACCTTCACACTCCATCTCTCCTCACAACCCATGTGGTCTTGAACGCAAACGACTGTGTGTGTACTCGCAATCAAACGAACCAAAAGAGCAACTGGGGAAAACTGATGTCACACATCATGTCACAGCACTGCATCACATGTCAAATCCACACCTCACTTCGCAACACAACATCGCACAGATGACAGCAAACCATCATATCACACCACCATGGGAATGAACACACCCCTCTCATGCACGAAAATGAACAAAGTGCCACCACCACCACCACCACCATCTCATCAGCTATCACACAAACTTGTACGTGGTCACGTTGTCTAAGATACAGCACAAGGGCATACACACACTCCGCTCATCGAAACAAAGGAAGGATGGCTGGAGTGACACTTTGCCACTGCTTAGCAACAGCAAGGAACAGGGAGATCAAACAGGAACAAGAACGATCAGCACCAACAACATCAACAAAAACAAGAACAAGAACAACAAGAACAACAAGAACAACAAGCAAACAAACAAACAGCTCAAGTCCACACCAGTGTTCGGCTTCATGCAACCAAACCACTACTGCAGCAGCAATCACGCCCAGTTGCTGCCGTGATCAGTGCTGGCACCACACCCCCACGCCTCAACTTTGCGCCTGCTGCTTCTTATCGCTCTGCTTGCCACCAGCACCGTTGCCTGTGGCTGCAGACCCGGCCAGCTTGCTACCACCTTCATCCTCCAGTTGCTGTTGTTGGTGTTGCTGTTGTTGCTCTGCTTCCCTTTCTTGGTGCTGTTCGTGGTGCCGTTGCTGTTGCTGGTCGCTGTTGTCGCCACCACCACTGTTGGTGTGCTGCTCCCTCTGCTGTGTTGCCCCAGCAAGCATCGCCTCGTCCGTCTGTGTTGGCGGCAAAACAATCTCCTGCTCACCCTGCTGCTGCTGCTGCTGCTGCTGCTCATGTTGTTCATGTTGTTCATGCTGCTGTTGGGGTTGTTGCCCTTGATGTTGTTGTTCGTGCTGTTCGTGGTGTTCGTGGTGGCGCTGTGGCACGTCTGTGTCCGACTGCAGCCTCTGCTGGCTCAGCGCCCGGGACTGGGAGAAGTGGACCACAAAGCAGCGCGCACACAGGAACGACGTCGGGTCACACGAGCAGTACGTGCGGATCTTCCGCGTGCAGCCAATCCCCGTGCACTTGTGCTGGTTGTACTTGGTGGCCACCTTTGTCCACTGGCCCAGCACAAACTTGCCCGAGTATGTCGGCGCGGTGAGCAAGCGGTGGTCGCCACCAACCAGCATGGATGCGGGCGGTGGCGCCTTGACAGCACCTGTGGCCGCTCGCTTCCTGGCAGGGCCCCCGTTGCTGTCCAGTCCACCAACATCACCACCACCGGGCGCCGTTGGCGACGTGTCCACGGCACCCGTGCCTGCAGGCATCGAGGAAGCAGCAACGTTACCACCAATGCCGCTCGCAGCAGTGGCAGCAGCAGTGGCAGCCGCGGTGCGCTTACCACGTCGACCAGCGGCATGGAATGCGCTGCCACTGCCACCGACGGCTGGGAGGTCTTCGTGGAGGAGGTGGTTGTGCACAAGTTGGCGGATCAATTCTCCGCGGAAATGCGTGCGGGAGAGAGGACCAAGCTCCCTGGAGCCGCGTTTGAAATGGTTGAACGCAAGGAACGTGTTCACCTCCACAACGCCCAGCATGAAGGCAAACTGGCCCAGGTCCCACGACTTGAAAGGCAGCGCTGTCTCTAGCGGCATCACGTGCGCGCGCAGTGCGCTGTTGCGGTCCACAATGAACCGCGCAGCCTGGATGGTGTCAAAGGCTTCGGGAAACTTAAGGGTCACAGTGCTCCCTGCGGTGGAGGCATCGCCCACGGCGCCAGTCGTTGTAGCTGCAGACCCGGACGGCGTCGCTCCTGTTGCTGACGATGGCGGTGCGGCTGCTGACGATGAGGATGTTGGCGGTGGTGTTGTTGATGATGAACTCGCTGTTGTTCCTCCCGGTGTTCCCAGCAACGGCTGCTGCTGCTGCTGCTGCTGCTGCTGCGTCGGGGTGGAAGTGGGCGGTGCGGTGCGCGTGTGGTAGGTGCCAGTGCGAGCGAGCGAGATCCATGTGGACAGGGCAATGCTCACGTGCGTTGGCTCGTTGAAGCCCGCCACCATCAGCGGAATGCTCATGCCCATCTTCTCGCCACCACGCGCTGCTATCACTGTTGCTGCTGATGATGATGCTGCTGCTGCTGACGACGAGGTCGCACCAGCATCACTCGTGGCGCTGGCGTGTGTGCGGGCGGCGGTGCCGTGGACAGCAACAGCTGCGCCCGTGGGCTGGCTGGAGAGCACACGCGTTAGGGCATCGGCAGCAGCGGCAAGGTGCTGCGGCCACGACCCGCCCCGTTTCGTCACCGCACACGTCCCGTGCACACCCACCTCTGCCAGGGCTGCAATCGCCTGCACCGTCGCCATGTCGCTGCCGACGACCACCATCTTGTTGGTGCGCCAGATGCTGCGTGTCAGCCGCAGCAGCAGCCCGGCCACCTTCCCGGCGTCGCTGAATGCCGGCGGCGGCGTTGTTGGTGGTCGTGGGATGGCCTCCTCAAGCTCAAGCGCATACACGATGCGGGTGAGCGTGCAGCCCAGCGCGTGGTACGTGTTGCCAAAGCGGTGCGGGCTGCGGTACCCGGGCGCAGAGCACGGCCACGTGGCGTGGGTCGGGTACACCCACAGCGAGCGTGCCGTGTCCACGTCGCTGATGGACGAGGGCGCAAAGTGCGCCGCCATGTTGGCGTTGAATGCCATCATCATGTTGCGCACGCCACTCATACGGTCCCGCTGCAGGTCGCTGTCGCTGGCGAGCGTCAGGCTGTCCATGATCTGACGGAAGCGGGCCTCGGTCATGAGGTGCGCGAGCGACGGCACGGCCAAGAAGCCGCCGGCATCCCCGTCTCGGGCGTTGCTGGCGCGGGCGGGCGCCCAGAACTCGTGGAGGTCGCGGCCGGGGTGGGATGCAATGGTCAGCCACAGGCCCACAAACTGCAGCAGCTCGCCCATGTGCAGGTTGAGGGACGGGTTGCGCTTGTTGGACAGCGGCAGCAGCACGTCCTGCATCCACTGGGAAGGCAGCATGAGCTCAAACAGGCGTGCCATGCTTAGGAACGCGCTGTCGGCCACGCCAACCAGCGCAGGCTGGCGCTCGCCAAGCGCGGGCGCCGGGTTCTTCACAGTTGGGTGGATCTCCGGCTGCACGTTGTTGTAGTCAAACTGGATGGAAAAGGGGCCCGTCTCATCTGGTGGCAGTGGGCCCTCTGCACGCTCAAGCATGTCATCATGCAGAGGTGGGCCCACTTCCACGGTCAGGTCTGGCATCGGTTGCGTGGGCACTGCTGACACTTGCACGCCCATGGCAGCAGGGCTGGCGCGTGTTGCGTGTGAGTGTTGCTGTTGCTGCTGTTGCATACGTTGCTGTTGATGCTGATGCTGCTGCTGCTGTTGCATACGTTGCTGTTGATGCTGCTGCTGTTGCTGCTGCTGCTGTTGCATACGTTGCTGTTGATGCTGTTGCTGCTGCTGTTGTGCATCCATGGTGGTGGTGGGCACTTGTGATGCAAGGATGCGCATGCCATCGTGTTGTGCGCCTGCAGAATGCGGAGGGGGCGCTGTTGCCGGCGCATACCCCACGGGTACGGGCAAGCTCAGGGCTGCAACCGTGGATGCAGGCGTTGGGTGGCCCATCATGGCGCTGTTGGGCACTGGAACAGCGTCAACAGGTGCCGGGTGGCCCGGCACCATCCCTGCAGGCGCTGGTGTGGTGGTGTTGTTGCCTGGTGGCGGCGCGGTTGCTGCTGCCGTTGCCGTTGCCGTTACTCTGGAGGTGGCTGGAGCACCGCCCGTGGGCTGATGCGTCGTCATTGGGTTCATGGCGCAGGTGAGGACACCAATGGACGTGAGAGGAAGGAGAGGAAGGAGAGGAAGGGGAGGAAGGGGAGGAAGGAGAGGAGAGGTGAGAGGGGAGGCGAGACCAGCAGAAGGGCAGTTGTGTGGCGGTGTGGAGGGCGACAACAACGGCAAAAGCAGAAGAAGACGCGCCAACGGCCACGCCTGAAATCAGTATTCAGAGCTTAATTCAGTATCAGACACAGTCGACAAACACTTGAAAATACGACCAATCATCCGCACCCAGCAACAGACAACAAAAAGAGCAAACATCAACAAGGCCGCAACCGACCGGCCATGGGAGATGCGGGCGATGACCGCAGCAGACACAAGGACGACGTGGTGGGAGAGGGAGACGTGGAAGGAGACGCAGAGGAAGAAGAGGAGGAGATGACACGAGTGGAGTTGTTTGGAAAGGCGTTTTATGGAGATGCAGATGAGAAGCGTGCCAACTTTGCGTTGGACGGGGAGGTGATTCGCAAATGTGCCTGTGGCGACCAGCACACCGTCATCATCGCAGGTGTGAGCATTATTGTTGCATCGTTGTGGCACGGACGCTGTGGGCGTTGCGTTTTGGCGTTCTTGTTGTCACGCACCGACAGACGTGCAGTAGTGCGGCCACCCACCTAATTTTTGCCAAGTGCGCTTGCGATTCCCGCTTCTCGCTCACTCAGCGACGTGCGTGGTGTAGATTCTGGTCACGTGTTTGCATTTGGCGCAAACGAATGGGGGCAGCTCGGCATCGGACACCAGAACAAAACCCACGACCCAACGCTCCTTCCAAGTACGTGCACATGGCAGACAGTGCGTGTGTGTGTGCGCGCGCGCGTGCGTGTGTACTCGACAGAAACAACGCAATGCTGTGACTGCCTAGCTCAGCGTTCACCTTCCCGAACAATGTCAGGTTTACGCGAGCATGTCGTGACGTCTGCGGCCTGTGGCCGCAACCACAGCCTCTTCCTGACCTCGACAGGCAGCGTACTTGCGGCTGGTAGCAACGAAGACCTGCAGCTCTCCGTCGATCCCAACGCCTCTGTACGAGAGTGTTTTATGTGTGAACTTTGTGTGAACATGTGTTTGCGTTTGATGTTTTTCTTACTTGCCTGTGTTTGACTGCACAGCAACAATTGTCCTGCTTGCACCCCCTCATCTTGTCATCCCAACACGCACACACACACCCACCCACCCACACCCACCCACCCACCCACACAACATTGTTCAGGACACCTTGCGTCCCGTGCCTGTGCTTGGCTTGCCAAAGTCGCGCGTCACCGCCGTCGCCGCGGGCGCAGAACATTCCTGCGTCATCACCGGTACTGTGGCTTGTGAGCACGCGCGTGTGTACATGTGCATGCTGGACGTGTGATGAATGTATGTGAGTGTTTGCATATGTGCATGTTGCAGTGTGCGTTGCGTTGGTGTACCCTCCCCTCGGATTATTTTTTTGTTTTTGGTGTGTATGACTCTTCTGGGGTGTGCATGCACATTCACACGCGAATGCATGCAACTTAAGGCTCAACACGCAGCTTTGCACGCATTTGTACATGTGTGGC